CAGATAGACAATGACAGAAAGAGGAGGAGGACCGTTTCCAGCAGAACGGTTGTCGAGGGATTGACTTCACTTGTATCTTTGACGAGTTCGTATCTTGGTGCGGAGAATGGCAAAGCTCACTGATGATGCCGACTATGATGCCAGGGAAACGTTTGAGAATGTATCAAGTCCACTGTCAGATGCTGGGATCATGACAACTACTATGACAGACGACTTCGGACTAGGTGCGTTCTACATAGTCTCCCTGAAAAGAAGACCAAGTTGCGACTACGAGGTCAACCCACTTCTATAAATCGAAAGGAGACTGCGACAATACCAGAGGCCACAACATCTTGGTCTTCATATCTTCAAAGAAATATAGATTTCAACTAAGATTTTATGAAAATAAGGTCAGGAATCGGAACAACTAAAGGTGGATATGTCTGCCCTCCAGGTTAGCCTTAAGTTGCTAGTGATAATACTCATTATTCCGATCTCCAGTCTGTAGTTATGATGACACTTGAAATTGAAGATTGTTCCAGTATGTGATTTCCATATGAATAGTCTCCTCTTGAATATTCCATTAGAGCGAATGATTACAACATTCAGGAACGGTAGCCGTTAATCCTCCCCCACCACCACTTTGCATACTGGGTACGCAAACTCGAAGATCAGGGAACAGCAATATCAGCCAAGAAACAAAGGCGAATGAACAAAGGTAATATTTTTGATTTTAGGAAAATAAATTACAAGGAGACCAGAGGAAGAATCGGAAACCAAGAGAAGACGTATACAATGAACCTATTTACGTGCTATCAAAGGCTTGAGGCAGAGTGTAGAACATAACGCTTCGAATAGCACCGATACGGTGGCAGCAATGGAGTGAAATCACTGAAACAGGCAGGTAAGGGAAAGATCCTCTGGAGCAAGAGGACTCTGATGGGACCCAAAGGGAGAGGATTGCGAATCAAACCCCATTCTTGGATCAGCACTTCCGGCAATGGATGTGGAAAGCAGCGGAGTGTGAATATGCTTCTAATAGGTTTAGATAAAGAAGTAAGAAATTGTGATACTGAAGGGGTGATACGAAAATATAGGATAAGTGAATACCCCAGGACAGGAGATACCACAGCTGTTTAGCAGACATTGGTAAAAGGATCGACTTCACTTGTCGCCTTGACGAGCTGTAATGTGGTGCACAGAATCGCCCTCTGACGATGCCAGCGAAACGTCTGGGAATGTACCAAATCCACGGACCGACTCTGGAAATTATTATAAATACTATGGACTCCGGACAAGGTGAGCTTCTCTAAGTCTTCCTGTCAATATCATCGAGTTGCAAAAACAAGGTCAAGCAACTTCTATACAATAAAAGGAGACAGCGACAATACAAAATGCCACACTACCTTGGTCTTCCTACCTTCGATTAATTCCTTATAGATTGAAGTTGAAATAGTTTTCATTTGGTTTGAAGAGGCGAGTGGAAGGGATTTGTAAGTTGGCCCCACGGGAAGCTGTAGGGGGATTGCCTTAGGGTGGTAATTGTAGATTTGTGTAAATAGGTCCTTAGCAGACCACCTGCTGACCCCGATGAGTCAGTCGCATGACGGACGAAGGCTAACAAGGATTCATTAGTTATAGGGCGGTACTCCGAGGACCTATCCACACAACCCTGCAATCACAGCTCAAAGGTAATACTCCTACAGACCCAGGTGAGACCAACTTACAAATCCCTTCCATTCGTCTCTTCAAACGAAACGAAAGCCGCTGCAACAAAATATCATCAAAAAAGTATCGTTTAATAGTAATTTCTCGATTGATCATTCTGGAAAATCGTTACATTAGCAAGAATAAGTAAGAAAATGATGAGGTTAGAAGTGGCAATGATATACAAGAAGATTAATATAGTGTGGAATTATGTCGGGCAGCAGTCTCATTTATCTGAAATGCTGATTTGACCTTCTCTCGTAAATGAGACCTTGGAGAAACTGTCAATTCATGTTTCCTTTGCTATAATAATGATAATGTCTAGCATCCGACCGTTGATAATTAAACCCATCAAAGCTAGGATTCCGGAATTTGTCACGACTATTATGGCAGATGACGCGATACTAAATGCATTTTACAAGGCCTCTCTGTCACCCAAATCAGCACTAAAAGTGTCTATGTTGTGAAGACTACAATCGCATAAGCTTGTGTGAGTGTGGTCTCCATCGTTGTAGACAGTTATGATTCCAATTAAGAGGGTTAGAGCAAGTCTAAAAGCAGTTGTGTAAAAATAGTGTTTCTTCCACCGGTAGGATAAGTTGACGGAAATAAACCTGACAGCGAAAGCTAGATTTCTGCTTATAAATGAATAGTGTACAAGTCTTATCAAATAAACTTGTAATAAACTCTAAATAACGAAACTGATGTGTTGTAGTGAATAGTGAATTTATCCTTAAATAAAGCTCTATTCACCTGAAACGATTACGTTACAAATTATATAATTTATAGTCAGCAATTTTGAGAGTTTAGATGAAACAATAACTTAAGCCTTCAAATAATTATCAATGATATTTGAACCATTAAGGAAGAATTAAAGAGTATATAATACCTCACGACAGAATGGCCTGATATGTATGATAAAGAGCATCGACATCGCCTAGATCACATTAGCTTTCTAGCGGAATGCAAATTCATATTTACCGGAGTAGAGGCAAAATTTGATTTATCCGTAAACAATTAAACCAAATTACAATAACAAGACCAGAGAAAAGCATTATCAGAAGTAAAATAGTAAAACACCACAAATACCAAGTCGTTTTTTAATTTCCTGATCAGCTCTCATCCACTCGTTTGAATCCATCGTGTTATACGCCTCAGAGATGGTGGGTTCTATGGTCGTCACTCTAGGCTTAAAGTCGGGGGCGCCAGCCAACCTAGGCACAGTGCTTTGATTACTACGGCATATGGCAACGTAGTTGGAGCAAACAGGCGTTAATAAGCTTGCTAGTCGGGCAACTCTACTGGTCCACATGTGTGCAAGTTTATGCAGCAGCGCCACTGTAGGCAGCATTTGTCGGTATTGCCGAAATTGCTGAGGGGTAGAGTCATCCATCTGGTCTCTATTGTGAGCTTTTGGTGGAGTCATGCACTTACGTGCAACGTTCTTAACTTTTATGCTGTCGAATGGGCATGGTCTTGAGCCTGGTTCCTTCGGGTCCTCTTCCTCTTGATCTAAAGTCGCGTCTTCATGAAGCTCTTCGTTCTCTTCGTCTCGCTTAGGCTCCTTTTGTACCTTTTTTAAATCTTCTCCGGAGCATTCAATTTTCCCTTCTTCTGCTACGAGATTGGGAAATACCATTGTGGCGCCAAAACGCGGTAGACCACTGGCGCGTAACCATTCGCAGTGCAGACGAATGCCAGCCAAAAGGTAATCAAGTTGGTCAGCACAGGCGATCAGATGCTGAGAAGGTCTGGTCACCGAGCTT